GAGTGGGCGTGACAGGAGTCCACGTTACTGAAACTGCTGTGATGACCACTCGGTCTGTCTGCTTGTGGCGGCAGCGTGTTTGTGGGTCCTCGTACCCTGTTCACCTGCCTGTCACTGTCACCTTTCTTTGCTAATAGACTCTTAGGCCCTGGAGGACAGGGACACTTCTCTGTTGTTAAGTGCCCTTGAGTCGGTTCCGACCCATAGTGAGCCTGTATAGGGTTTCCGAGGAGTAGCTGGTGGGGTCGAACCACTGACCTTGTAGTTCAAACCGACCTTGCTGTCCAGTGCTTGTCCTACAGTGCCTCAGAACTCCGTTATACAGTTAGTGACTCTGAACTATTGGGCTTGGTTAACTTATGTTCTTGTTCTGTGTGGAGACCATACGTTTTATTTCTAGTTCTTGTTGACTCGATGGCACTTAACAACAACAACAACTACTCTTATGGAGTCTTGGTGTGGCACTGTAGCATAAACAGCTGACTGCAGGTGGGTTTGAACTGCAAGGTCGGTGGTTCAAGCTTACTAGCTGCTCCTTAGAAACCCTATACGTTGCTGCTATGGGTCGTAACCGACTTGGCAGTACTTAACAATTACTCTTACAGAAAGGAGAAATGAAGTTAGTCTGATTTATATTTCACACTTAACTTTAGAATATTTTTTTTCACACCTGAAATCAAAATGCCAGGGAACAGTTATGAAATGTTTGTTAGTTTGGACACATGTACAATTTCCCTAATATGAATCTTTTCATCCAAGGATGTACTTTGGACTTTCTATTTACCCTGGTCTTCTTTAGTGTTTCTCAGTATCATGTTGTTGTTAGGGGCCATTGTGTTGGTTCTGGCTCATAGCAACTCTAGGGTTTTGAAAACTCATCTTTCTTCTGTGAAGCGGCTGGTGGGTTTGAACCGCCATCCTTGTGGTTAGCAGTCCAATGCTCGTCCTGCATCCTCACTGGGGGAAGTTTTGTTGTTGTAAAGTGCTGTCAAGTTGGTTCCCACCCATGGAAACCCTGTAAAGGGTTCCGAGGAGCGGCTGATGAGTTTGAACCACTGACTTCATGGTGCTTATCCTACAGCGCCGGTGAACCCCAGCTGATGGAGAGCCCACACACAATGTCCAGTCCTGTGTCCTGCCCATGGTCAGCTGAGGATCAGACTGTTGTTCTCCACAGGACTGTCACTGACTGATTGTTTGGCAGTAGATCTCTAGGCTTCTCTTTGTCGACTCTTAGTCTGGAAGCTTCATTGAACCTCTTCAGCCTCACGGTCCCACAGACTTCCATTGGCAGACTGACGATGGCTGTGAGTGAGACGCATTGACCGGGAGTTGAACCTGGGTCTCCCGCATGAAAAGCGAGAGCTGTTCCCCTGAGCCATCCATGCTCCCACCTTCATCATGTACTGATATCCCTCTTTGTTTTCCTTTTTACTGACAGTCAGGTTCCCCATCTGAAGGTGCAGCCTGAGAGCTGTTGTGTAGTATACAGGCCCAGAACGGTCACGTGGCAGGCGTGGTCAAGAGTCAGCAGCTTGTCAAAAGCGGCAGTTTTCCTAGGCTGTGGGGATTTTGACGAATGGTTGTTTGTAATAGACGAGATGGCGGTGTGGTTTCCCCCAGTGTTGAGACTTTTTTGTATTAAGGAGCCCTGGTGGTGCTGTGGGATAAGCACTGGACTGCTAACCACACGATCAGCAGCAGTTCAGACCCACTCCGTAGGACGGAGAAGGAGTTGTCTAGTCTTGGAAACCCTGCGCAGGCCCGCTGAGAGCTAGCATCCACTCACTGGAAAGGCTTGGTTTTCACCTGCATTCTGGGGGTACCTCAGAGTCATGGTAGGATGGGGGTTTTGTCAGGTTTGAGGTCAGCATGGACTGGTTTCCTGACGGAAGCGTATCCCTTTCTCTGTGCTCTGGTGGTCTGTGGAGTGTGGGAGCCCCCCTGGGCTGACGGCACCCCGTCTTCAGTGCAGGCTCTAACCTGAAGGAGTGGCTGAGGGAGCAGTTCTGTGACCACCCTCTGGAGCAGTGTGAGGACACGCGGCTCCATGACGCAGCCTACGTGGGGGATCTGCAGACCCTCAGAAGCCTGCTGCAGGAGGAGAGCTACCGGAGGTGAGCGCTGCCATGTCCTCCTGCTCTGAGGGCCTGCGTCCAGCCCTGGCCTCCAGCCACCTCCCCTTGGGCCCTCCCTGTCGGGGATGGGGAGACACTGACTGCTGGGTGCTTGGTTGGCAGACGTAGCTCCTGCGACCAGAAACCCTCCACACTGCGCCTGGTTCTGCCTCCCCTGCAGGCCTCGGGGGGCAGTGGGTGGTTGAGGAAATGTCCTCGTCGACACAGGAACAGATGGCAGTCTCTTTCAGAGAAAAGGGCGGTGGGACACGGGTCATCTTGTCCTTCTACTGTCTCAAGTCTAAAACCCTAACCTGACTCACAGGGCCCGCCTCCCTGCCAAGAGAAAGGCCTGAGAGAGCAGTGACGGGGCAGCTCAGACCCATGCGGCTCCAGGTCAGCTGCACCCAGTCTCATCTTCCCTCGGGCTCCATGGGGCGCCCCATCGCTTGAACGTTTTGATTCCTCTTTGTTTCTTTGGTCCCTCACGGTCACAAACAGGTTGTGCTTAGCTACTAACCAGAATGTTGAAGGTTGGAATCCATTCAGTGCTGTTGGATAAAGGTCAGGCAATCTCTGTCTATAAGATTCCAGCCAC